TGTGTGTGTGTGTGTGTGTGTGTGTGTGTGTGTGTGTGTTGGGGGGTAGGGGAGTGGAGAATTGAGGTGTTCTGTAAACCTGTATCATTTATCAGAAAAGCAATTGTTTTCCCAGAACAACCCCCATACCACCTAGCACCATCAAGAACTACTTAGTTTAAATGATATAATTGGCAAACAGGTTTTTTATTTGGATGGAGGAATGATTATTTTCTATCTGAGAATTCCAATAAGTAGAATTATACTTCTAGATAAAAAGCTATTTGATATAGAAGAGGGCTTTGTATATGAAGAACTGGCCAGGAAGCCAGCCATTTATTATTTACATGTAATAATTTATGCACATTTTGTTTAGCTTTTTCCTTTCCAGTCTATATTCAACATGTAAGCTAGATCTCTTTTATGATTTTGAGCTTAGTCCATATTTTTCTCCCACTCTATTCAGGACCTTCTAAAGCGACCTTTCATGGAATGGTTGGTAGTGGTAGCTGGACACCATCTAATTCTTCTGGTGCCAGGACGTGAGGACTGAAGTTTGCATGGTTTATTAGTTTATTGGACTGTTTCCATGTATCTTTCCATTTTCAATATTTCTTTCCTCTGAATACAGTGATCAATAATTGCAGCATATATGGCTGTTCATGAGCCTTTTAAGACTTCAGTCACTACTCAACAAAATAATAATGTTCTTGTGAACTATGATATGCCAGTTACCTTGGTGGTCCCCGAGTTTATGGTACACAGGCCCAGTGAGTCATTCCTTCAAAGTGTGTGGTTATGTCCCAGAAATTTTCATAGCCTTTCCGCCTGCGTGTGCCACCACATTCATGCACATATTTTCAGCAAAGATAAATGCACATGTACATATATTCTCTCAGATTTAGATATATTTGTGTGTATACACCTACTCTACTGCCTGCTGACTATTTGAACATCTACTTGTGGATTACCACTGTTGCAGCATTAAGTATGTAACAATATTTGCCTTTGTTGCCTTTAACTCATGCAGAATTTCCAATGCCTCCCTCTGCCTCCATTGTTTATATTTTGCTTTTGTGGAATTTAATTTTTTTTTGGAGTAGAAATGCAAAGAAATTATTCTTTGACTCACAAAGATCAATTTTTTAATCTTATTTTTTCCTATTTCTGTTTTCATAGGATGCTGGCTCAACTAGGAAACATCAGGGAGATAAAATCAATCCAGAGGTAAGTATGTTTTATATCTTTTGTTAGAAAGTGTTTGTTTTATTATCTCTTCTTCTTTTTAAATTATCTCTTTTATTGAATTGCTCCTTTGCTTCCAGTATGAGTTAACTCCAGTATTCATAATGTGGCTCCTTTATATCACACTATCACTCACACAGGTCTAAACTTTCTCCTTTTGATTTTTGTGTCCCTGTTTTATTGGAGAGGATTGAGTAAATACCCCAACTGGTAGTGAGGTTAGAACAGAGCAGAAATGCTCCATAACATGCCTGAAGCGCCGAGTCTTCATGGAAGTGCAGTCTCTCGTCTTTCTCAATGGTATATTTTTTACTCTGCCCTCAAGGATTAAGGCCCCCCTCCCCTGCTTTTCTTATCGAAAGTGATGTTATGTAGATTGACCGCCCAATTGCTAAAAAAAAGTTCAACCATTTGAACCCATCTAGTAACTATGTAGAAACTTCCTGACAATCGCTTATTGTAAAGATAACAGCCCAGGAAAGCCAAATAGGTTAGTTCTACTGCCATATATAGGTGAATCAAAATTTGAGTTGTGCTACCTCAGCAAATAAAGGTGAAAAATGTATCCCATGCACACCATTAAGGTCAACCCTGATTCAGAGAGACACATCTCCCTTAGTTTTGAGTGCCCTCCCACTTGAGGGACTCATCTTCCAGCACGGTAGTAGACAGCTTTCTCTTGATACAGTTTCCAGATGCCAGTTGTTTCAGAAGTAGTTTGCCACACCGGTTCTGTTTTAATGTAGAAGCTAATTTATTGCAAGTGATCCCTATAAAATGTTCTTAAAGCAAAGGTGTCACTTTGAAGGTGTGCCAACCCAAGTCATGTGAAAGCTGGACAATGAAAAAGGAAGCCTGGAGAAGAATTAATGCATTTGAATTATAGTGTTGGCAAAGAATAATGAATGGCCTGCCAGAAGAGCAAACAATGTGTCTTGGAACTGGCATTGCTGACTGCTCTGAAAGGGAACACAGTAAGAGCTCCTGGATAGAGTGGGAGGAAAATGCGAGACAAAACTCAAACTCAAGACAAAATAATAATAATTTATAAATTATCAAGAGGCAGGGAGGGAGGGGAAAAATATGAGGAGCTGATACCAAGGGCTCAAATAGAAAGGAAATGTTTTGAGAATGATGATGGCAAAAATGTACAAATGTGCTTTACACAATGGATCTATGTATGGATTGTGATAAGAGTTGTAGAAGCCCCCAATAAGGTGATTTTTTTAAAAAAGAAAAAAAATAATTCAAAATCAAAGAAGACCAGGCTTACTCAAGTGGCACCCCTGAGACTGTGGCCCTTGGACAATCTTCAGGCTTGGAATAGAACCCATCCTCATCGCTCCTTTTTCAGCCAAAGGATAGACAGGCTCCCCCCACCCCCCCTTTTATTATTAGGGGCTCATACAACTCATCACAATCCGTACATAAATCAACTGTGTAAAGCACATTTGTACATTCATTGCCCTCATCATTCTCATAACATTTGCTCTCCACTTAAGCCCTTACGATCACGTCGTCATTTCCCCCCTCCCTCCCCGCTCCCCCTCCCTCACGAATCCTTGATATTTATAAATCATTATTTTGTCATATCTTGCCCTGTCCGGCGTCTCCCTTCACCCACTTTTCTATTGTCCGTCTTCCAGGGAGGAGGTCACATGTAGATCCCCCTTTCCAATCCACCCTTCCTCTGCCCTCCCAGTATCACCACTCACACCACTGGTATTGAAGGGAGCATCCACCCTGGATTCCCTGTGTTTCCAGTTCCTATCTGTACCAGTGTACATCCTCTGGTCTAGCCAGACTTGCAAGGTAGAGTTGGGATCATGATAGTGCAAGGGAAGGAAGCATTTGGGAACTAGAGGAAAGTTGTATTTTTCATCGTTGCTGCATGGCACCCTGACTGGCTCGTCTCCTCCCCAATTCCTTTCTGTAAGGGGATGTCCAGTAGCCTACAAATGGGCTTTGGGTCTCCACCCCGCACTCTCCCCCTCATTCACTATGATAAGATGTTTTGCTCTGATGATGCCTGACTGGTGGGCTTCTTCAATGTGGGCTTTGTTGCTTCTAAGCTAGATGGTGGCTTGTTTACCTTCAGACCCCAGATGCTATATCTTTTGATAGCCGGGCACCATCAACTTTCTTCACCACATTTGCTTATGCACCCATTTGTCTTCAGTGATCAATCATATCGTGGAGGTGAGCACACATGATATGATTTTTTGTTCTTTGATGCCTGATAACTGATCCCTTTGTACCTCGTGATCACACAGGCTGATGTACTTCCATGTGGGCTTTGTTGCTTCTCAGCTACATGGCCACTTGTTTACCTTCAAGTCTTTAAGACCTCCAACGCTGTATCTTTTGATAGCCGGGCACCATCAGCTTTCTTCCCCACATTTGCTTATTCACCCGCTTTGTCTTCAGCGGTTGTGTCAGGAAGGTGAGCATCATAGAATGCCAATTTAATAGAACAAAGTATTCTTTCATTGAGGGAGTACTTGAATGGAGGCCCAATTAGACGGGCTTTTAAAAGGTGAAAATACACCAGTGAGATATGCATGCCTTAGAGCAGCAGTACTCAACCTGTGGGTTGCGATGCCGTGGGGTGTGTGTGTGTGTCAAATGACCCTTTCACAGGGGTCGCTCATTCATAACAGTAGCGAAGTTACCGTAATGAAGTAGCAACGAAAATAATTTTATCATTGGGGGGCTCGCCACAACATGAGGAACTGTATTAAAGGGTTGCAGCATTAAGAAGGTTGAGAGTTAATGCCTTAGAGGAAATGGGAAGGGCAACATTTGCCCTGGAATTTAGTTTAGAAGGCAAGAATGCATAGAAGAGTATGAATAGAAATCATAAACATATGGTGGAAGGAGAGTGTTGTTATGTTTTGGGGACAATTAAAAACAGGAATCAAAATGTGTACAAATTGTTGAATAGCCATTCTGCTCTGTAAAGTTTCACCCAAATCACAATATAAAGTTTCCTAGTCTCAACATAAATTTGGATGTGTTATTAGGAGGGACCAGTCCCTACAGAAGGGTATCATGCCTGCTACAGTAGAGGGTCAGTGAGCAATGGTCTCAAACATAGATGATTATGAGGATTGTGCATGACTGATCACATTTCATTCTGTTGTACATAGATATGGTCACTCTGAGTGGCCACCAACTTGATAGCACCTAACAACAACAACAGGAGCTGGAGTCAACTAGAGGGCACACCTCATTTTATTTATCAATAATTTTAGTCTTTACTACTTCCATCTGCCGGCCTGCATGCAATTAAGTTTCCTTTTTTATTGGCTACAGGCCCAGTGAATTTAATTTGAGGCTTAAATTGTCTTTACAACCTCCACAGGAAGTTTTCTTTTGAGAGGCTGGCTTTTTGCAGCTTTCTAGAGTTTAAACATTTAATTTCCCCTTTCCTAATTCACTGTCCTTTTTGAGAAGTTCTTCGCATTCCTTCTTTCTGTGCGCAACACCACCTGTTTACTGTTAGTACTTCCTCAAAATCTTGGAAGTTGTATTGCTTTCACTAGCAATTGTTTTGCCTTATAAATGATCTTACATTTCAATTGCCCTACATGTATAATCACTTTTAAAACAAATAGGCTCTTTTAAAAGTCATTTACATTCTAATAACCTTTCATTTCCTTTATTCTTATCCAAGTATTGTTTTTGGGGACATGGAATTTTAGGTCATTGAGAAAATGGGATAAAGGCTGGATCTGAGGTTCCCTGGCTTCAGTAAGGAGCAGTAGAATCCATTTCTACATTAGCCCAAGGCCAATTGCCAAAAGTAGACATGTACCCACCCCCCATCCTTCTTTTACCTTATTGTGATGCCACCCCTTCCTCCCATGGCATGACCCTTTACTTCTCTGCTGGGTTAGATAATCTCTTGTGATACACAAACCCCACAGACAATATTAATGATTATGGGAGTTTCTTAGAGAAGTCCACAGATTTACAAATCAGAATCATAAAATATTTAGGATACAGTCCACAGCACTGTCTCCTCAGCCAGCAGCCAAGTCTCTTTCTGGTTCTCAGCCTTTCAGACAGACACGTGATTTCTTAGCCTCTGCCTTATTCCATTGGTTGTAAAGCCTGACAATGGCTCTGCTGTACAGTCTCATGTCTGTGGTCTGAACACTACAATATCTGCTCTCCACCATGAATTCATGCAGAGGTCTCATATGCACACGGCC